ACCTTTCCATAGCTTAGTTATTATATCTTGTAGAGAATGGTGCTGTATTCCCCAGGCAACTGCATTCACAGCCATCCACACTGATGTGCTTCGACAAGCTCAGCACTGGGCCTCAGTCCCTGATCCTGCTCCAAGCAGCCTGGCCAGCACTAAGAAATAAAGTGACATGTTTCTGTATTGTTTATCACCAAGTAAACAGTGATATGCAAAAGCTGGAGCTAAGGTTGGAAGGCACATTAGTGACTTAAAGGTTACAAAGGAAAAATAAAAATAGAAGGGGGTGTTGCATTACAGTAAATTATCCCTAAAGCAGCCACGTGTAAATCCCAGGAACTGACTGAGCTGCAGCCTGAAGGAAAATGAAGCAGTGTTTTGCTAATATGTTCTTCAGTTGCAGTAGAAGCTTTTAAGTGTACCCACCCCATATCTGCTGTGTGTGTATCCTTCCAGTTTGGATTTCTGAGCCATGAACTAGATCACAGAGCTGATCCAGCTTAGAAGGGAAGCGTCAAAGATATTTTTCTTTGAGCTGGCTGAGTTCTTTATCTGGACCACAGGCATCTGTGGGGTTGCAGAACTAAGGGGATAAGAGGGGAAAGGGCAGTGAAGTGGTTTATGGCTTGGTGGGGGAAACCTAAAACCCTCTTGCTGCCAAGACAATGCATTGTCAAGCTATGGCCTCACACATTCCCTGGCACAGAAACACAAGGGTGCAAACTGCCCGAGCTCTGCTCTGCTCTGCAGCTGTGGGGATGTTTCTGGAGTGAGTGTGGACATGACAGACTTGTGCTAGCCGTGGTACCATTCACAAAGAAGCCACAGTGATGTGGGGCTTTGGCAGGATGTGCAGCTCCCTTCCCCCTCCAGGATTCTAGGTATTTACTTAGGCAGGCAGGTCTGAGCTGCTGTGGCTTCACTGCTCTTTTAGCAGGATTAGCTGGAGCACAGCTCGCTTGGAATCTTCTCTGCATGCTGCTGCTAAGCCTCTCAAGCAGCTATGGATGTTGTGCTGCTGTGAAAGTATGACACGTGCATTTCAACCATTGTGTGCCTGTGGATTAGATGCAGATAATCTTTCTTTTTACTTAGAAGTTAATTTCTTTTACCCTTCCTGCTTTCACATTAGGTCTATGATTTCATATTTCCAAAGAATGAATGTGGCACCCAGCAGGAAGGGTGTAGGCAACAGGGCAAGGGAGCAGTGTTGCTGTGCTCTCTCTGAGTGCCAGTGCATTTGTAACTGTACATTTGTTAGATTCTTCCTTACCCCCCAGCCAGGTGAAACTTGAAGCAGTGAGGGAGGGAAGCAGTTTAGAAGAGGGGAGGGTGACAGGGTCACAGAGGAAAGGAATATTATATTTGAGTAAAACAAAAGAAGATGAAAATGGGACAGAGATGAAAAACAAGATGAGAGGATGGAAGCAGTAACTGAGGAGGGAAATGCTAGAACAGGCTCATATAAGCTGAACAAGGCCAGGCTGTTGCTGTCAGAAGCAAAGGTGGAAGTAAATGCTTGAGTGGGTTTGTGCAGCATGGGTGAATGAATGATGAGCCTCTGCAGCCCCAGGTGGCTCACAGCCCACTGTGCTGGTGCTGTGAGAGAATGTCAGAGGGCCAGGAGTGCACACACTCCTGTTGTGTGCTGGGAGGGCTCATGGCTGTGTCACAGCTGCTGCTCTTCTCTGTGGGATGAGATCTCTTTCAGGTTAGCCCGAGGAGGAGCAAGGGCTGTGCCTGGTGCTGAGGTGAGAAGCAGAGCACACGTGGAGCTGTGTCCTCAGTGCCTCTCAGGTGCTCTCTCAGCACTCTGTGTTGGAGCCCATCACCCTTGTTTGCCTGCCCTTTTTCTTGTCAGCACTTAGCTGTTGTTGCTGTGGTTCATCTTCCTCTGGCCTTGATGGCAAAGTTGTTGATAGTAACTCTGAGCCTGGCTGGCCCTAAAATGAGAATAAGAACCCTCATAATGCTCCCCTTGACAGAGACACTGGCTAAGAAACCAGGTGCTCTTGCTGCCTTGTGCTGTCTCCACTTGGCAGCAGAGCAGCTGAAGTGTCAGAGCAGGTGAGCTCCTGGCTCTGATGTCTCTGCTCTGCTCCCTTGCTCCCAGGTGGAGGCTGAGCAGGCTGAGCTGGGTGCTGGGCTGAGGAGATGGGAATAACCCAGTTTCCCTGGCAACAGCGGCTCTTTCATCACAGACACACAAGGCTACCTCTGTTCCTGGTGCTCAGGCTTGTGTGTGTATCTGGCTCTGGCACTTTGCTTTGCTGGGGAAAATGGCAAATAAAAGCAAGAAGGTCTTTTTGCCTTTGAGATAATTAAAATCTCCATAGGTAGATTCCAGTGCTGCATTCAGCAGTAATAGAAAGAAGGATTATAACTACTTCTAAGCTTTTTAATGTGTGAAGAATCCCTGGAGGATACAGAAATAAAGTTTTAAATTCTGTGTGGGGCTTTATGAACAGATCACATAGCAGTCTGTGACACTGATAGATTTGTGAGATGACTTAGTTTCTTTTTTATGGCTAGGGAGATAAAGTGATTCAAAGTAGACTGAATCTTGTTGCAAACCTAGGAATAAATATCCTTCTGAGCTGATCCTCCACCTGGCATTTCCTCCAGTTTCAGGTAAAGGTTTTCCTGTGCAGCAGGAGACAGAACATGTTATGGGAGGTAGAAGTGTGAAGCTGGTTTTTAGCTGGAGAAAGTGAGGAAAGTGGAAATACTGTTATTCACTGCAAGCCTTTCTGCTAATGTATTTCAGTCTGCATTTACTCCCCCACTAACAAAAGTGGAGCAAACTATTCATTTTGAGAGTGAGCCCTGGGAGTGAAAAAAATATTCCTGCCTTAATTTCCACACAGGGACTTGGTCTTGTTACTGCAGGAGTGCAGGGAAATTGGTTTGGATAAGAAGAGTTTGAAGAAACTTCTGCAGGAAAAAGGAACTCTGCCTTGAGTGGGCCTGAGGCCAGCAGGAGTGCCCAGTACTGATGTTCCTCCTTGGATAACCCCCAGTTGTCAGTGGTGTATCACAGCTTTCTTGGGTTAGCAAGTTCCTGGTTTCAGCAACTCCCATTCAAGCTGCTGTTTAGCAAATCAACTGATGTGGTGTTTTCTGAATGGCTGTGGACTCTGCAAACCTCTAACATCTAGACCAAAGTTCCTTCCAGAGAACAGATACCACCTTCCCTCTTGTTGCTGTGATTGTGCACAGCCTAACAAGTCTTTTGAGGAACTCTGAGAGCTTGAGCACAAGGTAATAACTCGAGCAGGTGGGTGACATAAAACTCACTGAGTTTGTTAAAATAATATTGCCACAGCCCTTCAGCAGCCTCAGGGCCTTGTACCAGGCTGTTACTTAGCTGGGTGGCATTTGGTACAAGCTGAGACAGAGGCTCACATCTACAGTGAGTTTATTGTTGGGTTTTCAGTATATTGTTTGTGTAAATTCCCAGACCAGCTCTCCCTCCTGAAAAAGCCACATAGATCAAGTTTTATTCTGTTCCACATAAAGTTCACATCTTTTACTGAAATGAGTCATGCTTTAACTGAGTTTACTGTGAGGGAGGAAAGTGGGCTTTAAAATGTTACTCCTCCACCCTGCCTTAGTGATGTATAACAGGATTATTAGTATGCTTGGCAGCAGCTGCTTATTATTTTAGCAGAACCTGGATATTTGTGAAAACAAGAATTCGCTTCTACTTGTGTTCAAGTGTAACTGTTTTTCCTTTTTTGATGGCTTTGTCTTCCATGAGCTCACTGGCTTCTCTAAAGGCAGATCTAGCTTATCTCCTTGGGGTTGTTTTTCAGTCTGGGGAGAAGGGTGGCGTTCTGTGAAGAAGAGGAGGAACAGCTCTGCCATTTTGTGGGCAGTGCCTGTGCATGGCTGTCCCTGTCACACACAGGACATTGCTGGGCACTGACAGCTGAAAGTGCTTCACAGGCCCATGGAGGTCGTGGTGCAGTGTCACTGTGTAGACACCAAATTTGGCTCCTCTGTGAATATTTCTTTGTGCAGAGAGATGAAAAGCTTTTTAACTTATGGCAAAAGAGCTGTTAAGTGTGTGTGTGTGTCCTTGTTACAGATTTTTGGAGTGGAGCAGTGTCTGTACACAGCAACTAAAGATGCCATAAGCGGTTGTGCTACTCAGGAGGAGGGGCAGCCAACAGAAGAGGACCTTTTAGGATTTTATTTTTGGTAGTAGGTTGGTTCACTTGACATGCAGGACCTTTCCTACACTTCTTGTTGCTGAGAGGTATGGAGAGAGTTACAGTTCTCTCCTGAGTTAGGGGAAAACTGAGTTAGGTATTACTATCTTGTCATTATATTACAAAGGTTCTATTGTCATTACATTGCAAGGGTTCCATATTGCTGGAGTTTTGTACCTCCTTGATGTTTCTTGCAGGCAGCTCCTCTAGGCACTGACTCTTCCTTGTCCTCACAGCAGCCAACTGACTCCAGTTCCCCTCAACCACCCAATCCACTCCTTTATAACACTCTTCTTATTGGCTACAGCTGTGGCCTTTTAACATCAGGCCTGCTCCTAATCCTTAATAATTGGCTCAGCTGCAACTCTTTAGGGGGTAAGATTACATTCCATACTACCTTATATTCTATCCCCCTGCATATCTTACCTAAACTGGCAGGGGCATCATCTGCTCTTCATTGGCAGAAAACCCAGAGTCTGTTACCCAGTAGGTTCCTAAACCCAGACTGGCAACTTTTATGGAGCCAGCAAAATCATTTATTCTGATGTTAATGCTTTTGAAGGAAGATGTGAAGGAAAGAGCTGTAATTAAACAACAACTAATGCAAGAAAGGACTTTGCTTTTTAGGACTTAGAATAAGTGAAATGAACTTTTGGTGACAACACGAATTGAATGATATTTGCTCCTCTCCTTGATGTGTGTTTGGTTTCCTGATGCGTGGCCCAGGGGCTGTGGGGCTGTGCCTGGCCGTGCAGGCTGAGCAGAGCCCGTGTTGTGGTTTGTGTTTTGCAGATGCCCCGTTCGGGGGGACCCCGCCTGGCTACGCCTTCGACGCGGAGCGCGCGGAGGAGCAGCGGCGGCACCATGACATGATGCCCTTCATCGACGACTCGCCCTCCTCCTCGCCCCACCTCAGCTCCAAGAGCCGCGGCAGCCGCGACACGCTGTCCTCGGGCTCCCTGGAATCCACCAAATCTGTGAGTCCTCCCCGCCTCCCTGCTCCAGCAAAGCCCCATTGCCAGGGGTGCTTGGGCTTAGTGGGGACAGACAGGGACTGCCGGTGCTGTGGGACATTGTCACCTGTTGTCATCTTAGTGCAAAAGTTCCATGCTGTTGTCTTCTATCACCAAAGTTTCAGACCTTCTTGGCATTTCTCATGGGCAGCTCCTCACAGCACTGATTCTTCTTCACAAAGCAGCCACTGACTCCAGTTCCCCTCTCAAGGGCCCACCCCACTCTTTTAAAGCATCTTCTTCTCATTGCTTACAGTTGTGGCCTGGTAAAGCCAGGCCTGTTCCTAATCTTTGATAATTGGCCCAGCTGCAACTCCTTAGGGGTGAGATTACTTTCTACACTATCTTTATTTTCTTATATTCTATCCCCCTACAGTCACCATGATATTTTCTGAAAATTCCTCTTTGCCCAGGATTTTCTCCTGGCAAGCTGAGAAACCTCAGAGAGGAATGAAAACAGTAATTATCTGATTGCTGCTCCTGTGTTTGCTGCTTTGGAATGTGGTTTGGACATTGTTTACCAACAGGTGAATGTTTGATTGGTTCCATGTGAATTGTTTTAACTTAATGGCCAATCACAGCCACCTGTGTCAGACTTTCTGATTCAGTCATGGGTTTTTATTACTCATTCTTGTTAAGCCTTCTGATGGATCCTTTCTCTTTCTTTAGTATAGTTTTAGTATAGTATAATATAGTATAGTATAATATCATAATAAATCAGCCTTCTGAGAACATGGAGTCAGATTCTCATCTCTAACCTCATCCTGGGGACCCTCACAAACACCACAGGGCACCACCCAACACGATAAGCACTGCCTGGTGTTGTACATTGTACATTTTAGCTGATGCTAGGCCTGACTTCAGGGCTCAATGCTGTGTGTGGCATTGGCATTCACATTCTCTGAAAAAATCCTTTTGCCCAGGATTTTTCTCCTGAGAAGCTGAGAGGCCTCAGAGAAAATAAAAACAATTCTCATCTCATTTGCTTCTCCTCTGTTTTGCTCATGTGGAATGTGTTTGGAGATTGTTTACCCACAGGTGATTGTTCCATTGGATTCTGCTGTGAGTTGTTTTCACTCTTTGGCCAATCAGGGCCAAGCTGTGTTGGGACTCTGGAAAGAGTCAGGAGTTTTCATTATTATCTTTTTAGCACTCAGTAAGTATCTTTTCTGTATTCTTTAGTATAGTATAGTATTCTTTAATATAATATAGCATAATAAAGTAATAAATGAGCCTTCTGAGAACATGGAGTCAGATGCATCATTCCTGTCTTCGTCAGGGCTTCCCTGCAAATACAATAGTTGTGTATATAATTTTTGAGCCCTTTGTGCATTTTAGTGGAGAGAACTGGTGACTAATTGCAGTTGAGAGGGTCTCTAAATTGCAGATATTTTGGAAAGGAAGCTGTGGAATGAAACACATTCATACGTCTCTGCATGTCAGTTGTCATTGCCTGTTACAAGGAAAATACAAGTTATTTTTGGGTAGATTAAGGGTTTTGATCAAGCATCTGGAAGATCTTTCCTTCACCCTGTGAAAATGGAATACAAAGAATTTAAAGTGCCAGCTCTGAAATGGTGACTTTGGTTGGGAGATGGCCACTGCTCGTAATGGGTTTGATATTCAGTAAATAACTGTCTGTATCATCAATTATCATTGATTAAAAATACAGAAGGGGCTGCCTTGCCTGACCTGTGGCTTAACATGGCCCTGCAGTCTGCCTTGCTTTGCTTTTGTTTCAGGTTCAGTAGCATGGCTATAGCTGGAACTTCAGGAAAATTTCTATTTTTGGTTTTACAATATTCTTGGGAGTGGGACATCTGCCTGCCTTGGTGAAGAACTCTTGGCTCTGCTGTTTTCACAGTCCAAAATGTCTTAGTTTCAGCTTGGATTTGTCTCTTTGACTTTCAACCTTTTGTTTCTTTTTATCCTTTTGCAATAGATTACAGAACACTTGAGTCCCAAGTTACTTTCTTCCTGAATATTTTTGTCTTTTTCAAACTTTTGGGTTCCCCAGATCATTCATAAAGATGTTCAATAGCACAAAGACAACTGTCACTTCCTTCCTACAGTACTTCAAAGAAAATGTGCCAAACAATCTTGAATTCCCCCATTGTAAATGACACTTTGAAATCTCTCCTCCAAGTGTTTTAACTTCTGTGTTGCCTTTATATTGTTCCTTCCTGTTAATTAAGATATCATGGAAGATAATTATGGATATTTTAGAGATATCAGTGTACATGTAAATCAACACCATCACCATTATCAGGCAGTTTTATTTATCTTGCATCAAAAGGAGAGTCTGGGAAGTGCCACCAACCATCATCCACATCCTGCTGCTCTCTGTTCTGTCATAGCTATGCTTGCATCTTCCAGCATCAATTCTGGGCTAAGAATCCTTCCTGAAACAGTGTCCTTGTTCTTTCTCATTTCTAAAATTCATTGTCAAGATCTGCTAAAGCATTATCAAGTAAATATATTGTTGGTGTTTGCTTAATTTTATTTGACTGTAAAGTGTAGAATCTAGTTAGCTGCTTATGCTTTAGTGTATTCATTTTGAGATGCTTTCTTATCTTTCAAGATGAGAATTCTTGTGATATCTAAGAGGCTTTTGAGTGAAGAAATTATCATTAGTAAATTCAAAGAGCTCCAAAACCATTTTAATATTGGCTTGAGATTTTCAGGTTATGTTTCTCATGATGAAGGAAAAAACAGTGTGTGACTCCACATGGCTGAGAGTTATCTTCAAAGAACCAGTTATGACAGTGACTGGAGGCCTGGAGGAGACACTGCCTAATAGCTAATCTTCTACTTTATTTGTTTGAATATTGCCTCATAAGCATTTAACAGCAGTTCATTTTAAAATTACTTTAGTAATGCTTGAAGGCTGCTTCTTCAAAAATAATTTTTAACATAAATTGCAGCTTTATTGTCTCTGAGAATAAAAAGATGTTTTAGGGCTTCCAAAATCTAGAGGTGCCCTGATACAGATTGGACTTCTACTCATGAACCTCAGCTGCTTCACTTGATGCTGTCTGTAATCACAGGTGACAGTCCCTGGGCAGTCCATGACAAGCAGAAAGAGACTTAATTTCTGTCCAGGTATTTCCCAAGCAAGTTAAGCAAGTTCAATCATCACGAGCTGGGAGATGGCTTTTGCTGAGCTGTGTTTTCAGCTCTAGTGGAAAAGACATCAGTAACAAAGTCAAGTGTCAAACACACTGCTGAGCCAAACACATAACATGTGTTGGACCAGAAATACCAGGACATGTCTCTTCCGTTTTCTTTTGTACTAAACTTGATTAGCAGAAAACATGTTTTGTTTAGATGGGTTTGCTTTTCAAGTTGTCTTCTTGCCCCTTTTACTTTTAACTGAGGTGCCTGCAGTTACTTCTGAAAATTTCAGATTATTTTTATGACCAGAGTCTGGAAGTGAAGTGAACTCTATGCAGCAGCACAATGCATGCACTGCATACACCATGGCAAAACATGGAGGGTGTAAAGTCAAGAATTCATGAATCATTATGATAACTTTGAATTACTCAATTGTCCCATCTTTCCTGTGGGCTCCTGTGCAGTGGATACAGTGAATGGTACTCACTGGATTCAATATTTCATCTCCAGAGCTGCACCTTATTTACAGGACACTGCAGACTCCAGTCTGGGTACAAGAGTGTTCATTTCCATGAAGTCCAGGTACAGCTGGAATGCCACACAGGTCTTAATTGTCCTGCAGTGTTCCTGTGAGATAAGAGGATGGGATGTTCACTAACCACAGGTAATCAGGGCAGACAGGTTATGGGAGAAGCATCTGCTAATTTTGGGTGCTTAATGTGAGGTGTGTAATGTTCTGCAAAACCAGGTTCTGACTTTTAGCACAGCTTTCTTCACATTAAAGTAAAATTCCTTTCATTTCACTTTGCAGCCAAGAGTTAACTGCACTTCAGTCAGACACCCAGAAAATGGAAAATGTAGCAAACTGATGTTTTAAATTTATTTTTTATAAATATAAATCTAAGTAATTCACTTATCACCACACAGGCATTGCAGCATTCTGCTGTGATGTTTATCTGCCTCATCCATGAGACCTCTTGGGAGCTGCATTTTTGCTAACTGAATATTGAGGGCATTTTGCTTTGACTTCTTTTATGGGCTTGCTCTGGGCTGTGTAATTTTCTGCCAGGAGTTTGTCTGAGTTCTTCCACCTCCCTAGAGCAGCTTGGCCCTTGCTTGGGTAGCACATCAGGGCTCACTGCTCTGTCCAGCCCCCATGGAGAAAGCGCAGGCTGCCAGCAGCAGGGTCTCTTGCTGGAAGAGAATGAAGGGAAACCTCCTGGACTGCTTGTGAGGGAGCTTCCTGCTGTTCCCTCAGTGTGTAGGGGGACTCCAGCACGTTCTGGAGTTGCAGCTGGCTTCCAGAGCTTTGTGGTGTTTACACTTTGCCCCTGGGCAGTGTTTTGTACTCCCTCCTACCACCTGGATCTCCTGAGCAGATGAGGAGATGCTGCCTGCTCTGCCTGCAAACTGGGCCACTCCAGCCACAGCTGGGGTATCCCCATTCCCCTGTTCCCTGGGGTATTCCCCCATTCCCCCTGTTCCCTGGAGCATCCCCATTCCCCTGTTCCCTGGGGTATCCCCATTCCCCCTGTTCCCTGGGGTATCCCCATTCCCCCTGTTCCCTGGGGTATCCCCATTCCCCTTCCCCCATTCCCCCTGTTCCCTGGAGCATTCCCATTCCCCCTGTTCCCTGGGGCATTCCCCCATTCCCCCTGTTCCCTGGGGCATTCCCCCATTCCCCCTGTTCCCTGGGGCATTCCCCCATTCCCCCTGTTCCCTGGGGCATTCCCATTCCCCCTGTTCCCTGGGGTATCCCTGTTCCCTGGAGCATTCCCCCATTCCCCCTGTTCCCTGGGGTATCCCCATTCCCCCTGTTCCCTGGGGTATTCCCCCATTCCCCCTGTTCC